ACACACACACACACACACACACACACACACACACACACACACACACACGTTCCTATCGATATTAGAAGAGTAATACTTTCTCTTCAAAGTGACCTATGAACTTTTATTCACAAAGGGCAGAATTCACTAGTTCTTTTCTCTGTCCCTTTTATTCCGCAACAAATCAAAACATGCCAAAGAGATGCCTTATGGCGATCTCATGCAGTCCTCTTATAATAATGTAATATATAATCTTCGATAGTTCTGTAGCAATCCTGTAACGGTCATCCTGCACGACTCTTTGAGTCTACCAGAGTAGCTAATGGAAATTATAATGTTACTCCTTGGCACGAAATCCAACAATTTCGTTTTATGATAAAACAAAACAAGTTTTCTCAATTTTTCTTTATAACTTCTCCACTTAAATATGCATGTAAATTATATATATATATTATATAATTATATATATTTTATATATATATATATATATATATTCTAAACAAAACAAGTTTTCTCAATTTTTCTTTATAACTTCTCCACTTAAATATGCATGTAAATTATATATATATATATTATATAATTATATATTATATATATATATATATATTCTAACAAAACAAGTTTTCTCAATTTTTCTTTATAACTTTTCTACTATGCATGTAAATTATATATATATATATATTTTTTTTTGTATGGTTTATAGTACAAATGATGTTACGGTTATCATCAAAAATTGCACGAGCCTATTTAATAAGAAATAACCAAAGAATCAAAAGTACATAACCCGATGCGAATGTGTCAATTAAATGTACATAATTGATTCTCGAATGGCGAGTGTATTTTAGCCACGTGCATTGCTTTCCCCAACTACGAAACATGCGTTTATTGTATTTGCAAATGTATCTTCCTCTTCTTAAAAGAGAATTTTCAATGTTGTTTGTAAAAAGCGAACGCTAACGTGCAATTTAAATTTTAAATTTTCCTGACGGTTTGTTTCGTGTATTTCTTTTTTTTTTTTTTTTTTCTCTCATTTAAAACGAGAATTCATCGGCGCGAGGGCGTTTCTGACTAAAAAAAAAATCTCTCTTCATCCGCGAGAAAAGGATTCTCATGCATGCGAGAGATTAATCGTATCGTTTCATAAATGCAGCCGCTTGTTGATCTCGACAAGGTCGATGACCCATCTCCGACTCTTGTTTCATCTTCTTTTCCCCATTTTCTCATCGACCGGCTAGTAGTATATAGTCGTCTCCTCCACGCGAAAGGAGGTTTGCGAAAATTTCGCCGAGCAGACGGCGAACCAACTCGCCCCCCCGGTATATATCCATCATGCATAGATAATCCAAGGCGGGTGGGTATAGGATTGCACTTAACCGCAGATTTCATGGAATTCACGGCGTAAACGTGCTCCGTGCTCGTTTGTAGTTGCAAGTGCAAGTATTTACACGAACTTCTTTACGTGCCTTGTTGCGTTGACCTGCTGCACGCTTCCGAGAAACCAACAACTCCTCGTTTTTCCCCTTCTACTGCCCCTCGGGAATTATTATTATTTTAATTTCTCGAAACTTATGCCGTGCGCGGCGCGAAACATTATTCATAAGGAAATGCATAAGGTGTAAGTGTAAGTGCATCAAACGAAGTTCCATTACACTTTCACGTCTAAGAATATCGTTTCAGTCACGTAGACTTGAATGCCTCGTGCGCGTAAAGGACAGCCAACACTGCCATAAGAAAATACGTACCGTCAGGCAGGGTCAGTTCACCGTTTGTGTGCCTCTACTTTTCTCTCGTGTTCGCGGCCGATAATTCAGCCCGTTTAGTTCTTTCACTCTGCGCAGATATTTTTAGATCGGTTGTTTCCTTCCTTTCTTTTCTTTATTTTTTTTTTTTTTTTTTTTTCTTTTTCTGCAGCGGATCGTGGACTCGAGCTCGATATTTTCATTGATCGAGTCGGGGTTTTTTTGATGCCTCAAATTACAATCTATATAGACACGTGATAAAAACTCGGTTAGTCTATACTGGTTAGCTTAGATTCTAATTCGGAGATCTCTCTTGCATTGATGATTCTGATAATTTGGTATCTGGATATGTAGTAGCTTCTGGATGTACTTGAACTCTCGAGTTTAAGTGGTCTGTTCGGTAAACCAGAACTTCGCATCTCGAGCTCGTCAAACCAACTGGCGAGAGGAGCACGCCGGGCCAGAAGAGGAACACACAAGGGTTTCTTCGTAGCGGGGAATATGAATTTCGTGAAGTATGTAAAATCAGAAGATAGGAAACTGACGAAATTCGCGCAGAGTTTATTAGACAGGGACGGCGAAATTAATATGAATTAAAAAGACTAGAAATTCAAATGTAGTAAGTCGTGAACAATTGTTCATGATCTTTGTAAATATCATAAATATCCAAGAGATCACCATATTATTCTGCATTTTCATCGCCCCTTAGAATTGACACTCAGAAAACTTTAAGACAGAGTTTCTTCTTGAAGAAAAGGAGCAAAATATATATGCTACTGCAAAATTAGGGCCAATTTTGTTTGCAGAGACTATCTTCGAAATGCAAAAAAAAAAGAGATAAACGATGAGGAGTAGCAATCATCGATTTCAGTAGAGTCTAAAAAAAAAAAAAAAAAAAAAAAACCAAAATTGTTAAAAAGCGCGTGGAAAAAGAGTGTTAACAAATGAGAACACGTGACACTGGTAAAGAAGAGCGATTCTTTAATACGAAGGAGGAGATCATACAGTAAAACAAGGCCGGGTTTCTTCGTGTTGTCTTTGGACGAAGAACGAATCAATTCGACGAAGACGGAGAATGCAGCACAGAAAGAATGAACAAGGGAGAAACATGGGAATTGTGGCTGAAGAAGGGGAAGAGAGAAAGAGAGAGAGAGAGAGAGAGAGCTCGACGGTGCGGAACGAAGCTGACAAAGAGAGGCCGAGTGGAATAGTTAAATGAGTAAGAGTGGGGTTAGAAGAGGAGAGCGAGGGCACGGGGGACGTATACTACGAGTCCACGCGTTCTATAGTAAATCGACTATAGTACTATGAGTCAGTCACACCCACAAGCTGGTTGTGGGTTCAAGACCCTCGTTGCGCGCTCGTACACAACGCGGTACACACACGCGCACGCGAGGTCACGCGGGTACGGACACGGTCGAGAATCTATTGGCCTTGCTACAACAGATCGTGAGGATGATCCTTAGATCTGATAAAATCATCGAAATTTATCGACTGGACAAAAATATCAGAGCGGCGGTATTCTTCGAACTTTTTGCTTTTCAATTTACAGAAATAAAAAAGCAAACGATAACAGCTTTTTTAGCTTGGGGGAAGGGAGGGGGAGGGGGAGGGCAGATCATCCAACCATCGAGAATTTTCAGGACTCGTAAAAATAATATTTCCGATCGTTAATAAGCAGCTTAATTAACTGACTCGATTTGTAAACTATGGTTCGCGTGGACGGAGTACCAGCTCGATGGAGTATTATAACATGGAGAATCTAGTGATACGAACGAATGAGAAGCCGATTTTCAACGAAAATGATAATGATAATGATCAATAATGATAATGATAATGTACAATATATGCAATAGTCTCAATTATAATAATTACGATGTACAATTGTGACAATTGCAAAATTGTAAAAGTTGATGTTCTGCGTGTTTTTCAGTCAGGTGAATGTTGGATACGGAGAGTAGACACGGTACTGGGCTGGTTCAGGGACCGACAAGGGACCCTTGGCTCACCATGGATTACTATCTCGGTACGGACAGTCTGTCGCTGCAGGAGATGCTTGATGTCGACATCAAATGCGAAATCGAAGGTGTCATCGGCGGACATACGGAGCTGGGCTTCAATATCACCGACATGTCCAGCTTAGAAATGGATGACGATCCTATTGGATGCCACAACGACATCAGTGGATGGTTTGGCCCCACTAGTTTGCTCAATGGGAACAGCAACAGTTCGAATAGGTACCTGCTAATTCCGTTATGCGTATCGTCAATATAACGTAGCCGTCTAAATACTAAAGTCTAGAGGACTAACTGAATCCCTCGATATTTCAGCAATTTTAATCTTGATCTCAACGGAAGCGACGCGGCCTCTATCATGGTGAATCCGAACTCGGTAATGCCTCACATAGCGGTTCGAAGTCCTACGCCGAACAACGGTAGGAGACACTTCTCATTTTCGCCGAAGAAAGACGCGAAGGAGAAGATCGATGTGGAGGAGGAAGCGGAGAACGAGGGCAGCAGTTACACAGAGAACGAGAACGAGAACGAGAATGAAAATGAAAATGAGAACGACAACGACAACGAGAACGAGATCGAGAACGACTCCGAGACAGAGCAGTACGAGAACGATATCACGGAAACGGAAGAGGAGTCCGAAGATGAGCAGCAGGAAGTTTCAAAGTCGGTGACGCCGTCCAAGTCGAAAACAATCTCGATATCAGTTGCTAAAGCGGCCTCCCCTCAGTACACGAAGGCGCAGACCATCCCGAAGATGAACGACATGCCCGGTATCAGGATTCAGAATTTCAAAGTGTTGCAGAGTCCCAACCAGACGCCTCAGCACGTGCGCAAGCAGATCTACAACAACAACGTACACATCAATCCGGGGGCCACCACCGTCACTGCGGTGAAAAGAGAGAAGGAGTTCGATCTGTCGGACTACGATGACAAGCCGTACCCGAAACCGGCTTATTCTTACTCTTGCCTGATAGCGATGGCGTTGAAAAATAGTCAAACGGGTTCTTTGCCCGTCTCGGAGATCTATAATTTTATGTGGTAAGTAGGAGTTTGAACTCGATTTGAACACACATATATAAATGAAAGGAAATGAAATGAAATGCAAATTTTCATTGAATCAAACCAAGCGAGATTAACATTTTTAGGAGGAGGGGGACATACTTTTATAAAAAAGCAGACTGGTCCAATAAAGTATAAGCGAGATTAACATTTTTTTTTTTTTTTTTTTCTGATACGTAACGAACAATAGAGCAGATTCCTACAT